CACAAATAAAGCATGTAAATTTACTCATAACGGCATTAGGCGCGAGGTTATGGACCACACACACACCAATCGCACACTGCTCATAAGCCTGCAAGCCAATTGAGCCATGAGAGATATAAAGGTACATATGTACTTGTGCATGGACACTTATACCCTACATACTTATGTGTGTGTTTGCACTCGCACCGCCTTAACAACGACCAAATACACATAAAATCTACAAGCCATTATTCAGCATTTATGTAAACCAAGTCAAAATAAATTTGGCAATTCATGAGCACCAAATATAGCAAAATATAAATGAAAATGAAAATGAAAATGAAAATGGAAATGGAAATAAATTGGTGCTTTATGGATAACTGTTAACGAACACAAGCGCACACATATGTACATATGTAAATGCCCTACATGCATAGATACCTATGTAGCCACAAACCAATTGAGTGCCTCTTAATGCAATATGATTAAAATACACATTTCTAATTTAATATTTTTCTAAACACGCGCATAACCATTTTCAATCAAGCAAAACTGTTTTGCGATTCTACAATTCATTTTTTCCCACCAACAAAAACTGCTGACACACAAATTAAAATTGATTTTAACCATAAATATTCAATATGCGAATGATGCCCGTTAACGAACGAAAAAAAAAATGGTAAAAATATTTATGAGAAAAAAAAAGACAATTCAAATATTCAAACTGTTCGTTCAATTGCAGTGCCAGCTGCGCTAGCAGTTGGGAGAGATCGCCGCAATTCATTCTCGAAAAAATGGCGGAAGTCATAATTGAGTAGTTGATTTGCAATAACTGACATTTTTACAACTTCCTTCCACAGAGCAATATCTACCAAACAGTTCCTAGACGCACTTATAAAAAAGCACAGCAAGTTACATGCAACAACAAATTATACTTCACACATTGCGGGCAAATGCCAATGGTAAATGCATGCCGCAATGTTGAAGGATATGCATTCTCCATGCATAAAATTTATTGAGGCTACATAGGGAAAGAATTAAGCTATTTCGAACCAAAGCTTCTTCTGTATTTTACAATATACACATTTTTTTTTAATTCTGTTAAATATACATAAGCAGACGTCCATAAAGTACGTGATCGCTTTAGATGGGGGTCTGACAAATGATCGCTATCGATTGCTTTAATCTTTTTTGAAGTGAAACTTCTTTAATGGGCGGTTGGTTTGTTGGGAAATAGTGCAACGGAAATAGAGCAACGGAAATGTTTAGGGCTGAAACAAGTGCTTCTAGAGTGTATGCATGTGGTATTAATTTAACAAAAACCTACTAATAAAAGGCTAAGAATAACGCTTAGAAAAAGACCAATACAATAATGTAAGTAAAAGTGAGGATAAAGGCAAAGGTAAAAATATAAACAAAAACAAAGATGCGTAAAGATAAAGGCAAAACTGAAGACCAAGGTAAATTTAAACACCTTACTTACATATATACATAGGTGCAACGGTGAAGGGGATGAAGAAAATGATTGACTTAAAAGTAAAAACAAAGATAAATATAAAGAAAAATATGAGGATGAAACCGATAAAAGTAGAGATGAAGATAGAGGAAGAAAGATTAAAAAGGTAATTAAAGAGAAAAGGATGTAGATAGAAACAGACTCAATCTGGGAACTATTTTCGGATTTTAGAGATTTTTGGATTATCGGGACTTAGCGATATAATAATCGATATTTTATCGGTTTTGTTATCGATATTTTTATCGATTTTGTTATCGAAATTTTTATCGATTTTTCTATTGATATTTTCGGAGCTTATCGATAGAATAATTGATATTTTAATCGATATTTTTAACGATTTTGTTATCAATATTTTGTTATCGATATTATTAGTTTGGTTATCAATATTTTTATCAAATTTGTTATCGATTATTTATCGATTTTGTTATCGATATTTTTGCCGATTTTGTTATCGATATTTTTATCCGTTTTGTTATCGATATTTTCATCGATTTTCCAATAGATTTGTCTACCAATTTTATTATCGATTTGCTACCAATTTTATTATCGATGATGCTATCGAATTTTTTGTCGAATTTGTCATCGATTTTGTTATTGATATTTTTATTGGCTTTGTTATCGATATTTTGTTGGAGGTTACTATCGATTTTGTTATCGATAGAGTATAAAGATAAAAATGGAGATAAAGGAAAACGGAATAACATAAATGTAATTAGAACGAACAGTGGTAGAGGTAAGGATCTAGATAGGGAAAAAAAACAAAAAAAAAATATAATATTAAGTAAAAGCAGATGTACATATGTATATTGGTTATGAGACAAATTCGCTATTTAACGTAAGTTTCACTTCTCTAGTGTGACCCAGGCGCACTTACTTTTTTTTTATTTTTTATGTATGTTACCGCATAACTTTGGACCACGTTAACCGATTTCGATAATTCTTTTTTCATCGGAAAGGTGGTACCTCAAGGATAATTTTGTTTAGATCCGATAATTGGATCGTGAAGAAATTAACGATAATCTTAAATTTATATATGAGAATTGAAGTCGGTTTTGTTTTTTGCTTAAAAATTATTTGTCTTCAATAATTCTGGTTTCTCCGCACTTTGCACTAAAAAAAATAATATACACAAATAGAACTTAAAAAAACGGGCTGCACAGATCCCTTCTAAAATCTCATTAATTACGACCAGCAAATAATTTTTAAACATTATTTTAAAATTTTCCTCACAGTGTAAATTTAAAGCTTTTGTTACACACCATACTGAACTACTAGTGGTTTCATAGTGGAATTAGTTCGAAGCTAGTTTGGAAATGCTTTACTTTCCTGTCGAATATTTGAATATGTTCTCACAAAAGTTTGCGTAATACATACTTACATACATTCGTGCTAACATACATACATATGTAAGTATGTATGAGTATAGATAAATCTAGGTCGACTCAGCGTATTTTACTTGGCTAGCGATTTATTCAATTTTCCGTCACGGAAGGTAAAATCACATATAAATTTATTGCTATTTTTCGTAGCGATGCGATTGATGGCCACAGGCGGAACCAAATGAATGCGATTGAAACGTTAATATGAAATCACGTGAATAATTTGTACGTTTTTTTTTTTCTTAATTTTTTGCTATTGGGCGAAAAATATACGATAAGGCATAAAATTAAGTGCAGAGATTGTTTTATGAGAAGCTGAGATTCATGTATGGAAAAATATGGAAAGAAGGAAAAAAGCTGATGACGCTTTTTTATTTTCTGCGGTAATGATTTATTATGAGACATATGTATTAAAGCTCTTGTAACAATTAACATCTATGTTTTTTTCTTTGAATTAGGGTTTCCGCTTCAAAAGTTAAATGAATGAATGAGTGTTGCCACAAAAAAAAATACCAAATTCCTCAAAAACAAATGAAAAATCCTCAAAATCCGAACGAATTACTCAAAACTTTCTTATTACAGATATGAGTATTGTGTACTACATACTATTTACAGGTACTTAGTATACAAAGTATCACCGTTATTTTTTATGCCTTGCTTTGTATATGTTACCGGCCAAACCCGATCTTAGGACGAACTAGTTTTTCCTCCTTTCCGTGGAAGCGGCCTTGGGACGCGCTTCAAAAAAAGAAACCCCCTCAGTCCAACTCCAGCTACGCAGTCCAAAATATTGTTGCGTCCAACTTTATTGTCCTAAGATCGGGTTTGGCCGGTAACATATATAATATTGCTGCAACTATATCAGCGCTCAAGTCAGTCCTACACATTTTCTAAACTACTAAATATACGTTCTACTGAAGCATTAGAAAAGGGCTATATAAGTAATGCAGATCTACCTATATTATTATTTTTTTTTTAATTTGGAAACTCATATGAACCTAAAGAATCTTTTAATTCAAAAAAATGGTTCCTATAATTTTCTGGATCTAATGAAGAATCAGTTTTCATTGAATGAGAAGGCAAGAGAGAAAAATCGAAAACACCAAACTCTTTTACATTGTGAACCGGAAGAAATCTAAAATTCTTTGCTTGAACGCGTCACGTTTGCATGGGGTGGTGTGGCGAAATGGCAAAAGTGGGTTTGAAGAATATTTGACAAGCCGCTTGTGTGGTGTATTTCGCTATTTATAACACTTTGGAAAGCTTTTTGGTCAAAAATTTTCAGAACAATTTAACAACTCTGATGTGTAAAACATGGTTGCTTTTATTATCTTCAAATATATCGAGAGAAAATTTCTCAAAAAATCCTCAAAATAAAAATCCTCAAAAAATACTCTCGCACACCCGAAGTTCCTCATATTTTGAGAAATTACTCACAAAGTGGTCACACTGGTCTGAATTTACTTCCATTGGCCAAAAATCGCTCAATGTTACTTCTATGGAATTCATGTCCTTAGAAGTTATGTCGAAATCCCAACGTCAAAGGCTACAGGTCAATCATAAACCTCTCCAAAGAGAGGATAAGGATAATAACACGCATTCCTATGGGTTACTGTAGATTAAGAGGTCATCTGCATAAGCTAGGAATCTATTGACGGCCTATGTCACTTCTGTGATTCGATCGAGGAGACTTCATTACACTTGCTTCGCGAGTGCGAGGCAGTTGCAAAAATATGGAAGGAGGTACCAAAGCCCACCTTGACCAAGTATGGAATTCACATAATCGCTAACCTATGAAATCCTATTTATTAACCATTCCTAATTCACACAGTGCCGAATATTGCATTCAATGAATATATATGTGACTAAATATATGTATGTAAATTAATAGAGCGCTAGCCCAGATACTGTTTATCCGTCGATTGCATTGCACTGCTTCTCTACAATCACTTTATTCAGTTGCAATCAAGTTTTCAACAAATCGCCATTTTGCTTTAGAGCCCGCAACGCGCGCTGCATACATATCGCTTCATCTACAGTATATGTACTACATATGTACATACATACACACATATTTAGTACCCACTCACCATGTTTATTCACCCTATCTGTTCTTTCCATTGCAGATGATCCACTCACCGCCACCAATGCCGTCACTGCGCCTGGTTACCTCAATGCGCAACCCTCATATGCAGACGCTATGCCAAGCGCATTTTATTGCCCTGCCGAGGGTTTGTACGCCGACGACTATGACTGTCGTATCTACTATCGCTGCGAAGCGAAAACAAATGACTACATCAAAGCATACGCATTCGCATGTAAAGTGGGCACCGTTTTCTCGCGCAAACTGCGCCTCTGCATGCCACCCCAGTTGGCTGGCCGCGAGGAGTGCAACGATTACATGAACGAAATTGATACGGACAATGGCGATAATGGTGAGGATGGCCAACAACTGCCGCTACTGACATATGGTATTGCCAATAACGGTAATGGCATACATGCGACCGCAAGCAATACTGCCGCTGCCGATGGCGCTGACGCTGACGCTGTCAATGCCGCTGTAACGCGTGGTCAATTGCAAAACTATGGGCTGTCAGGTTTGGGCGGCGTTTCTGTTATTTCCTTTTCCACATCGGCGGCGCGTTCGGCGGATGGCAGTAGGGCAGCGGACGAGCAAGGACCTCCTTGCGAAGATGATGGATTTATGAGCGATCCAGACGATTGCACAATCTTCTATCGGTGCATTTCGAATGGACGCAGTTTCAATAAAATCGGTTTTCGCTGCGCGGATGGTACCGCCTGGGATGGTGTGATGGAATCATGTAACCACATACACAATGTACGCGCCAGAGGTGGCTGCCAAGGAAAAGCTGATAATTTAGTATTGGCAGACTATGCAGCGGACACAACTCAATCAAGTCAAACCAATTATCAGAATACAACATCGAGTAGCAGCAATAGCAGTCAGCAAAGTTCTACCAGTTCTTCTTCCAATTCGTCATCGTCGTCTACATCATCGTCCTCCTCATCGAATTCGACGAGCTCAAATGCAACGAGCGGTACAGCTGCTACGGGTAATCAACAGCAAACAGGCACTCAATCAAGCAGCACTGAGAGTAGTTCATCCAACTCGCAATCGCAATCGAGTACGCAGAGCTCAAGTTCAAGTAGTCAACAATCATCGGGTTCGAGTACCAGCTCATCGTCAAATTCAACTTCAAATCAGGGCAGCGAAAATAGTCAGGTCGGAAATCAGTCGAGTAGCAATAACCAATCAAGTGGTGAAGGCTCACAATCGAGTGCCAACAATCAGTCAAGCTCAAGCAACCAATCGGGTGGTGGTAATCAAGAGGGTAGCAATAACCAATCGAATGCGAATAATCA